CCCCCCCCCCCCCAAAAAAAACAAAAAAAAAACAAGAAAGAACTCAATTTCCCCTTACCTCAGAAAATAAGTGATAATGTTATCTACTGTTGGAAAGAAGAACAAAAGTAAGATCAGACAAAATTCTAAAAGCTACCTAGTTCTGAATAAGCCAGCCGTATATAGAGGTCTTGAGAATCAGATTGGAAGGTTCTTATGTCAGTGAGGTCTCCAAACCAAAGCAAGCAGCCACTTCCTCCATCCCTGATATCTAAATTTGCATATGCCATACACGAGCAATTTTCCAAACATAATCCCTTGCATTCCTTGAGGCTCTTGCTCTTATCAAACCATGAGGAAGATGTGTCCGGCAATTTAAAGCTAGTGTATTTAAAGAAGCCATCATTATAGCTGCAAGCTAACGGAGTATTTCGAATACACCCATCAGACCAATTCTGTGAATTCCATTGTTCTGGCGATTTTGGTATAAATCCCTTCAAGCATGTACATACGGGAGCATTACTGATGTTACAGCTAGAATATGAACCACAGAAGGCATAAATTTCACACTGGTCTTGTTGGGTTGAAAAGAATGGTTCCCAACTATGTGTGTTTTCAATCCATGTGAACCACAGTGCAATGCCAGATGGGTTCAATGTATATCTCGAGGGCATAGACTTGTTTAGGAGTCTGTACTCATAATAAACCTCATCCTTATTCAAGAAAAATTCAAACTCAGATAGTGGGTTTGGTCGACTGATAGATCCTGTTAATCGAAGGCCGTTCCATGAACCTGATCTAGTTTGTATCTTAGCTCCCTTCATAACAACAAGTTGTGGTAAACCATGAGGAGTCATCCCTAGTGAAAACTCTCCTCGAGCAGGATCTTCTGTGCTCTTCCAAGAAGAAACATACCTTTCAAAACCAGTAACGAAGTCCCATCCAAGCTTCATTTCTGGTAGGAATGTGTCACAAGGATAATCAAAACTCTGCCACAAGAAGTTATCAGGGTTAGTTTCGTCTGCATCTTTCACAACAAGATTTCCTGAATCCAATAGTTGTGATACTGGATTATCTACAGTTCTTGATGAGTTGGATGACCATACAATGCCGTTTGAGCTATTGAGAAGGACTATAACTCCTTGATCAGTGACCTTTAAAACTCCTGAAGAATCATCAAGTGGTGTTTCTCTGTTGGCTACCCATACAACTATCTCTTTAGAAATAGTGTACCATATCCCCAAGTATTGGCCTTTGACTTTACCAGGGCTGAAGAATCCCAGTTGAAAGGTTCCACCTGCTGAAATTAGAGTTTGATCATGTCTAATATATTGATTTGGAGACATGGTGTCTAGTGTATTTGTAGTGGAGGTTCTCAGGAAGGAGAATAATAATGAGCATACAAAAAGGGTTCTCAAGGCTTGCATTGATATTCTGATCAGAATGCAGAACTTTACTGAAAGAAAGCAATACATAATATATATGCGGAGAAGTTGGAAGAAGTGAAAACGGAAAATCTCAAGCTTACGATTGGCTATTAGCTTGTTTTGTTCTCTATGGATACAATTTAAAATTAAGCCCAAAGGCCATACCTTCTCTGTCCATCTTTACCTGGAGATGTACTTCTACTTGCGTTCTACATATCAATGTGACAGTTATAGAGGATACTTCTACCTGGTATATATCAATTTTCTTCAGTTCACACAATTGCCAATCAAATAGAAATTTATGATGCAATATGTTTAGTATTGACAACTATTAATATGACTATATGTCTTTCTGCCAAGTTTCAGGGCTATTAAATCTTTTGTTAGGCTTGGGTTTCTTCAATGACAGGACACCTTGGTTTAAAAAAAACTTGGTCTCAGCAAAAGAAACTCATAAATTAATACACATGTTGTTCGCAAGAGGTAGACTCAATGAAGTTGACAGCCCATAAATTGACTAAAACAACAGAAATAGATTGTCGAGAAGCCTTACCGAGCAAGAAACTCATAGGAAAAAGACCTCTCCCCCAGCTTCCACGAAGCTTCACTTGTGTCTCTGAAAATCCAACGACTTTCAGTAATCATATTGATCATTCCAACCTCAACGTCTAAGATCACCATCACGTCAGGTACTGTGCTTCAATGGTCCAATTCAAAGCCAGGATGAGTAAACGAGTCAGTCATGTTTGTGATTGCCAAGCAGAATATAAAAAAACTTAAAATCAAAAAATGGATTAATATTGAAGAACGAAAGCTTTTTCTTTGAAAACATTACTTCTAGAGCAGAAACTATTGCATGCCAGTGCAATGCAATCCTCCTATGTTAAGTACAACCTTCACATGCATACTTGCTCTGCCCATAACAATTTGAGCTCTGGAAATAATATTTTCAAGCAAGCTTGTTTTTCCTATCACAACCTTAGCAGTTAGATGGGGTCAAGGATTAGCTCAGCTCAAGCTCAACCGAAATTCAACTAAGATAAATACAATTACAAAAAAAATTCATGAAAGTCTCATCAGCTAGCAAACTATGGTTAAACTTAAAGGTTTGTTATCTAGCATTCGTGTAATATAAATATACTAGTATCTGCCAAGACTAATATTTTGTCAACTAGACAAACCGTTGCTATGACCTTCTGTATGTGAACAGCAATAACTTGAATTGCCTTGTCTGGTTCTTTTTGTTGTTGTTTTTTTAATGCACCTTTAATTCAACTTGCATAATCATATTCTTTTAAAAAGATACGAGAATGACTGATTGGTTGACAAAACTGATCAGAAGATGAACATTTTCACACTTCATCATGAGTTCGTTTCTTGTTCTTGCTTTGATGACACATCAAAAATTCAAATAAGTTTTTCTTGCTTTGATAAACTTATGGCAAGAATTCAAATTTTTTTGTCAACCAGTAAGACAGAAATGTAAATTTAGAGCACATTGAAAGTTTATCAAAGTATGCGGGGGCTTGCAACTCAAATGGTTAAAGTTATATGCACTGCACTCGATGTTGTGTGGTCAATTCCCCTCTTGCATAATAAAGAAAATAGTCTTATCAAACTTTAGGGTAAATTTGTTGAAATTAAATTATATAGAATGAAATCACAAGTAAATGAAGAAAAAAAAATGTAAAAGATGTAGCAGGTGGGACTTGTAAACTTTAAGCTTCTCCCTACAAATTATAAGATGCAAAAGCAATTAAAACAAGAAGATTACATGCTTTCAAAGCTACACATCAACACCTCTCATCTCACCTGAGCCTCAGGTTCTTGAAGTGTAACTGTGATTCTGGCGATTTATGACGTGCCCGCCACATGTTCGACCAAATTCCCAAGCCAGACAGCGTATACCCATAAAGCTTTCTACGCTTTGAGCGCTTTGGCAAAGTGTTGCCGATAATCTTCTACTTTTATATATTTCCTAAAGCGTCTGTGTGCCAATATATGAAATACTTTACTTCTCAATTAAATTCGATCTTATTATATATAAAGAAAGAATGAAAAGAAATCTTATTCTTATCACTGTTCACTGTAACAATACAAACAAAACTGACAACCGACCAGCCAATTGGGAAAAACTCAAAACTGATAACTTATGGAAACCCCAATTTGAATTCAACAAACATAAAACATAAAATTACCTAAATGGATGGATTTTGGGTAGTGACTAGCCATAATAGCCAAGCAACTGCTAGGGACTGCTACCTATATAGCACAGCCGCCTACTTGCTCCAGAAATTAACTCAACTGTCCAGTTGACTTAATTGTATCCCAGTGCAATTGGATAATCAACTACAAAATTCCACAAAAGTAGGTAGTTCTTCAATGTAGTTCTTCAATGTTTAAGGCAGGCCATGCCGCGGTCTAATATTCATGACATTATTTTCCACACTTTACAGAATCTACTATCAAGATACGGCCACAGAGCATCAAGGTTGAAATCTTTAAGAGGCAGCCAGTAGTGGGGCTTTTGCCTACAAAGTAGTTCTAGTTATATTCAATTCAATGTAGAACCCGATCCATTATAAGGTAGACCAGCCCCATTGTTCCAATTCACAGTTTGTGCTTGCATCACTTGAAATCAAGGTTGGGCAAAATGGCCACAGAAATCAAGGTTGAAATCATCCAGAGGCAAACAGTTAAACCATCCTCCCCAACTCCTCATCACCTTAGAAATTATAAGCTCTCTATTTTGGATCAGATGGCC